TCCACCACCCCCAAGTTGTATTCTGGGTTAGGTGCCTACCCTCTGTGCTCCAGCTCTGTATATACCTCTGTCTCAGTGCTTACTCTGCTGGATAACAATAGTCTGCATATTTGTCTTTATCTTTTATTAGACAGTGAACTCCTTGAGGGCAGAGACTACATTGTTTTAAATCTCTGTATCCCCAGTGCCTGATACACAGAAGGTGCTGATTAAATGTTGAATGAATGAATTCAATTTAAAGGACCACTCCTCCTGTAATCTTCCTCATTTTACTAGTTGCCCTACCAAAAGTCGAATTCATCCTCTTTCTCTTTGACCCCACCTCCAGTCTGTGAGCAAATCCTATTGCCTGTTTCTTCATATGGTTTCTAGAATTCAGCCCCTTCCCCCACTACCACCTGTGTCCAAGCCACCACTAAATCTTGCCAGGATTATCTTCAGAGCCTCCCAACTGATGTCCTGCTTCCTCCTTTGTCCCCTTCAATATGTATTCAACACAGCAGCCAGTGTGCTCATGTTAAAACATAAGTGAGGGCTCCCCTGGTGGCGCAGTAGTTAAGAATCCGCCTGCCAATGCAGGGGGCACGGGTTCGTGCCCTGGTCCGGGAAGATCCCACATGCCACGGAGCAACTAAGCCCGTGGGCCACAACTACTGAGCCTGTGCCCTAGAGCCTGCAAGCCACAACTACTGAGCCTACGTGCCACAACTACTGAAGCCCATGCACCTAGAGCCCATGCTCTGCAACAAGAGAAGCCACTGCATTGAGAAGCCTGCGCACTGCAACAAAGAGTAGCCCCCGCTCGCCGCAACTAGAAAAAGCCCACACACCGCAACGAAGACCCAACACAGCCAAAAATAAATTAATTAATTAAAAAAACATAAGTGAGATTGTATTATTTCTCTGTTCAAAGGACTCCAATTGCTTCCCTTCTCACTCAGAGTAAAAGCCAGAGTCCTTACCTTGTCCTACAAAGCCCTGTGTCACGTGGCCTGCCCGTCCTCTTTACTCACTCCACTGCAAGCCTCACTGACCTCTTCTCCAGGAACACTCCTGGCATGCTTCTGCCTCGGGGCCTGTGTACCTGCTGTTTCCTCTGCCTGGTTACTGTGTGGTTCATTCCCTCACCTCCTTTAAGGTCTTTCCCTAAATGGCCACACTGATGAAAATGGTGCCCCCTTCTACCCTGCAAAACTTTATCCCCCTTCTCTGCTTAAATTTTCTCCTTAACCTTGTCCTCTAACATACTACATATTTTACTCATTTATCCTGTCTTGCACCATTAGAACATAAGCATCAAAAGGGCAGGGATTTTCATTTTTTATTTACTTCTGTATCATCAGCACCTACTTAGCACATACTAGACACACAATACGTACTTGATGAGCAGACCATGGATGACTGACTTGCAGGTCATAATCATTTACTTATCCTAAGATACACATAAAGTTATTTAAGAATTGCTAATTCATACCTCAGATAAAAAAACACCTATTAGCTAGTTTTATGTTTCCAGTTGCTTTAAGAAGGTAGATTTAGTCAGTAAAAATAAAATTTCTAACAGCTCTTGTAAAAAATAGGCTATTGGGGTGAGAATGAATTCCTATCTTTTGAGATTTTCAAAAATAAAATGAATAATCACCTGGTGATTGGATTAGATCAGTGGATCCACAGGGAACATATGACCATGTCTGGGGACATTTTTGGTTGTCACAGCTGGAGGATGCTACTGGCATCTAGTGGTAGAAGGCCAGGGATACTGCTAAACATCCTACACAATTGCACCCCTGCCCTGCCCCAAACTAAAAATTATCCAGCCCCAAATGTCAGTAATGTCACAGTTGAGAGACCCTTGATCAAATGAATTTTATAGTCCTTTATAATTCTGTGATTCTCCGATTATAGGTCCTCTCTTTTTCTGAGGGTAGGGAATTCCTTGGAAATCACTTTTGCGAGTTTTAAACTCCTCATGTTTTTATATCTTAATGCTTACCGCATTTTTATGATAATTAAAACAGCTTTTTCTCTTCCTGCTGTGAACCCTGCCATTGTGTTCCAGTCACTGTAGGAATGAGTTGCATTGTCGCCAGGGAGAACTAGGAGTAGTAGTATTGTTACTCCACTTCTGGGAACTTAGAGAGTTATTACTATTTATTTTATTTTCACAGAAGAAAGCCCAAATAGTTTAATACCCTGGGGAAGAATTTGAGATCAGAACCTTACAGGTAACTTAAATGAAGATGATACTTGCCATTTTTATGAAATTGGAATTTTTATCAATAACTCTTTTTGAATGCCAACGGTGTTATCATTGTTGTGACAGTGAAATTAATTTCCTGTCCTTAGGCCTTAAATCTGGTAAGGCAGGTTTGTTCCTGTAGTGTATCAAGTTGCATTCCTTTGTAAGGAGCCAAGCACTTAGATTTATGACCCTGATCTGCCATTTTCTTATCTCAGTGGTCATGGCACGTGTTCCCCAGAAGTGCACCCAATTAGCATTCTCTGTTTTTGTTTTCTGTCCTTAACTCAGGAGACTCACTACTAATAAAACTTTGTTTTTAATATTTCAGAAGTAAACAGCTGTGTTTCACGTATCCTTGAGTCAGTGAGTGATTTTAGTGAGTGTGTTCAGTTACTGTTCTTCATCTTTTAATTTTGGTTCTGTTTTTTATAAATGATTTTTTATGAAGAAAGAAAACAGAATCATTTGAATTGGAAGAAAAACAATTTCCTGTTCTTAAGTAGGTAAGGTATTAATATTCCCATCTTAGAGCGGAAGGAACAGCCATGGCTTGGAACTGGCAGAAGAATTTTCTACACGTAAATAAGCAGACAGCTTTCTCTATCCTGCAGCCATATCCACCGTGCTTTAGTCAGAGTCGGAATCACTCATCACGTTCGTTTGCAGCTTGTTTTTCCTCCGTGGAATGTTGTCCTTTGCTTGATTATATAGGTTGCAAGTTTTTAGTAAAGTTTGGATCCTCAGGTATTTTCCCAGAACTCATAAAATGATAGTGGTTAAAAAATACCTCTCCATCTGTTTTGGCTTAGAGCATTAAAGAACTTCTCAGAAAGAAAGCTTTGAAATACAAAATGTTCTTACAAGGACTTTATATTCTCTTTAAATGATGTGATGCATTTTTGTACTTGACAGTGTCCTTAGAATCCTCTCCATCTTTCAGCCTGTGTTAATAATGGGGATATGTAAGCAGAATTTTAAATAGTGGCTAAATCTTAATCTTTGCTGCATTGCCTCTGAAATGTTTTGTGTGTGCCTACCTCTTGAATAGAACATGAAGGGAATTTTGATTGCCAAAAAATTTATTTAATGGGCAACCTATTTCATTTGTTTAGAAAGGTATGTACACTGTGCCTGTCTACAGTATCCACAGAAGCTTGTGATCTCTTTTTTTTTTAAAGATGAAGACAGGAGAGCTCAGAAGCTCTCCTGTCTTCATCTTTAAAAAAAAAAAAGCAGTAGACTGCTTAGTAGCACTTTCTAGTCTGATTTTTCTGGCTGTTGATTGTTTTTTGTTAAGTGATGTGTACATTATATTGAATAGGAATACATTATAAAGTCTGGGCAGATGGGCGTGTATTGATAGTCTTCTATCTTGGCCTCTTGGGCACTTGTGCTTTTGTAAAATGAGACTAGCAAGAATCTCTAGTTAAGACTTTTTCAGATTATGATCAATGCCTCAAGTGACAATGTATGAATATATTGAGTCATAACTAAAGATGACTCCTTTGTGTTATGTGGAAAAATATAACAAATACAACTCACAAAATTATTTGATAATGCCTTTTTATTTTGAGAAATGTGTTCTCACAATGTTTCTAAGAGAGAGGTGCCAAAATATCTTACTTTTGCAACTGCATTCAGCTAATGAAAATTTAGAATTGGAATTTCCTGGTGTTTTCACCAAGCTTAGCCTTGGTGTTTTCTAGATATAGTATGTTGTGAGATTCCTTAAATCAAAACATTCTTAATCCTGTTGTATTTAAATGGCTTTTAGTAAAAGAAGATTTCTCTTCCTTATAATTGTGCCTCTTGGTTCTTCAGAGTATGGCTAGAGCCAGATAGCTTGATATACCATTGTTTGCTGAGTTTGCTCATTAGTTTACTTGTTAAGTATTTATTTAACAAACATTTATAAAGTATATACTGTGTGTCAGGCACCTTGTTACAAGTCTGTCTGGTATTTTTCTCTAATCATTTCAGGACTGATGAGGAATATTTTAATAACTCAAGGTGGTATTAAATTGGGATCATGTGTTTTCAAAAAAGAAGCACCTGGCTCATTGTATTGTTCCACTCTGAGGCCACCTTGGGCAGCCAAGATCCCCATCCTTAAACTTGTAAGGATTATGATGCTTGTGAAACTGTTTCAGGTGTTTTTGTAATGGTTCATAACTACTGCTTGCTGCCTGCCTATCCTAATTCCCCAAGTGATGAAGAAGTCTTCTGTGAGCCTCCAGTCCCTGTTGAAGCACTTTCAAATGTCACACTTTCTCTCATTTATTGTACTAGATCCATACTCACTTAAAACCATGTGAGCTACTTACATGAGAGTTGTAAATCGTGTGTTTTATGTGATATTGTCATGGACTTATTTAGCATGTGATCAACAAGTCACTTCCCTGTCTTAAAGCTGTTTTTAAAAACTGTACTTAAAACTATATCAAAATTGCTACTTTGGTGGTTATATAAATTGACAAACAGATTGCCTCCTATTATACAAATGAGGAAACTCAGTACTCTCTTCATGTGGAGAAGTACTGCTGCCAGCCATTCTGCTATCAGCAAGGCTTCTGCATTGCTTCTAACAGTAGTGGCTTGTATTGTACCCTGGCACAAAGGGACACCTTACCTTAGGTCTCCTAGTAGGTCAGTGGCAGACGTATAACTGAAACATTGGTGTGTAGCTTTAACATAAGACGGCAAAGCTTAAAAGGTTACATTTTGCTTTCCCTTTGTCTCTCCCCCTTTCTTTTTGAAGGAGTGGTGAATGTGCTGCTAACAACTCCACTCTGGGTAGTAAACACCAGACTGAAGCTGCAAGGGGCGAAATTTAGGAATGAAGACATTGTACCAACCAACTACAGTGGTATTATTGGTGAGTGTCTCTTGGGTGAGTTCCTTTGTAAAGATTTTCTTTTCTCTTTGTATCTGGAATTTATCACCATGATAATGCTACAACCTCAAATCTCAGTGCCCAACAGTAAGTATTTGTTTAGCTCCTGTGTCTCTGGATTGACAGGGATTTGACTCATCTAGGCTGACTCCAGCCTAGGAGTCTCAGCTCCATGTGTCTCTCTTCCTTTTCCTGGGACCAACCTGAGCATATTCTTCTCTTGGTGATGGCAAAAGCACAAGAGGACATGCCCAATCATAACAAGCATATTTCAAGCCCCTGTTTGCATTTTGTCTGCTAACATCCTCTTGGCCAAAGCACAACCAATGGCCAAGCCCCAAGAAGATAAAGGGTAGAGAAATACACCCATGGAGTATATCCCGTGGAGCATAGGTGGGAGGGGATGAATATTTCTGAAGAGCAATCTGCTACTTTTTTTTCCCTAATGTTTTCTTTAGATAAGGATACCAGATTAGCATCTGATATCCTTGAGCTTCTGCTTTTTAATAGTATTACATTGCCAGGTTCTCCTTTCCCATGCTTCCATCTTTGTAATGAGAACAGGGGTTTTCTTATAAGGCAGTCCTATAAAATGGACTCCAGAGAACTATCTAATCTTTTTTTATACATTTATTTATTTATCTATTTTGGCTGCATTGCTGCGCACAGACTTTCTCTAGTTGTAGCAAGTGGGGGCTACTCGTTGTTGCAGTGCGCAGGCTTCTCATTGTGGTGGCTTCTCTTGTTGCGGAGCAGGGCTTCAAGAGCTGTGGCACACAGGCTCAGTAGCTGTGGCTCGCAGGCTACTGAGCACAGGCTCAGTAGCTCAGTAGCTGTGGTGCACAGGCCTAGTTGCGCTGCAGCATGTGGGATCCTCCCGGACTAGGGCTCAAACCCATGTCCCCTGCGTTGGCAGGCAGATTCCCAATCACTGCGCCACCAGGGAAGTCACCTCTAATCTTTTTCTGTACTGACCTTTGTTGTGAAACACGTGGGCTATCAGTTCACAATTCTGTGTAGTACAGAGTTCCCAGTGGTGGTGATGATTACTTAGGAAAACTTGACATGCTAACCCCAGATTTGTCAGGAAAGGTTGCCTATGAGTGAAATTGGTCTCTCAATAACTTGGTGATGGTCAGTATCTGATGATTATTCAAAAGTAGTTAACTGATTAACTTGTCATTGTGAGAAGGAAATCTTGATAGAATCAGTGTGATAGAATACTGATAGAATGAGGTTTGTGTTCTGGGTACATTGTCTTCTCTAGTTAGGGGATTGTCATCAAAGGTCCTTGATTTCTTGCTCAGATGCTTTTCACCAGATCATTCGCGATGAAGGAATCCTGGCTTTATGGAATGGCACATTTCCCTCCTTGCTGTTGGTCTTCAATCCTGCCATCCAATTCATGTTCTATGAAGGTTTAAAACGGCAGCTTTTAAAGAAACGAATGAAGGTAAGCCCTGATTCTGAAAGCAGCAGACAATCCCTGACACCTTCTTGCTGTTTAGATTGATGCAGTTTGTTCTTCCTTTGCTTTCCAGCTTTCTTCTGTGGACGTGTTCATCATTGGTGCAATAGCCAAAGCCATTGCCACCACGGTCACCTATCCTCTGCAGACAGTACAGTCAATTCTGAGGGTGAGTGCCAGGGTTCTCCCTGCATTTAGTCAAACAACATTCTAATATACTTGGTTTCCCTGTTTGAAGCAATGTTATTTAATAAAGCAATAAAGTAGTCCGGAGCAGTCCTCATGCATTCTTTCCATTATTTGATATTTTGCAGATTGAGGAAAGAGCTATAAAGGAAGTGAACAGCATTCTATGATTTAGTGGAGAGGGGCATGGTGGGGGTCTTCTCAGGTGGCATGATTGGAAATGGGCTCCTCTGAGGAGCCATATGTAAATTAAGACTTAAAGGAAGGTAAGGATCCAGCTGTGCAAAGAGCAGAAGAAAGAGCATTCCAGGTAGAGGGAACATGATGTACCGAGAGCTTGGTGAATCCTAGGAACTGAAAGGAGGCCATTGTGGCTGGAGGTGGCTCAGGAGGAGATTAGAAAAGGAACAGGGAGCCTATAGGTAAGGATGAGATTTTAGTCTCTCTGCAGCGGGAAACCTTTGCAAGGCTTTAGACTGGAGAGTAATGTGATCTGATTTACAATTCGAGAAGATTACTCTAACTTTTCAGTGGTGAATTGGTCAGAAGGCTAAGAGAAAAGGAGGTTGTCAGGTTAGGAGGCTATTTCGGTCATACAGGTAAGATGTGAGCATGGCCTGGACTATGGTGGTAGCAGTGGGGAGGAGAGATTCAAGGTCTGTTTGGGAGAAAAAATTCAAAGGACTTACTGATGGGTAAAATGAAGGTGGAAGTGAAAGTATTTCAGTTCAAAAAGATTATTCCCTTCTGTTAAAAGTATTTTTACTAATGTACTATTTTAAAATTGGTACTTAATATAAAGAAATTCAGTAGCAGTCAAATGAATGTATTTTGACACTTTTATAATAGAAACATATAATGTGAAAAGCTCAAATTGCAGAGATTCTAATTAATTAGTGTTTATCATAACTTCTTAAAGGATTGGAAGCCATACCATCAATATCTAAATCTTCATCGTGGGCATGGCTTTTTCTTTTGAGGTAGAATTTTCCCCATGACTCTCTGTAAAATGAAAATTCTCATGCTTGCTTCATTGAAAAAATATTTCTTATTTTCACTTATTTCATTGAAATAAGAGGATTAATTAAATCTAAATACTGATGGATATTTTTATTACCATATGCTGTAACATGTTACTCCAACATAATTTCCTCTGCAAGCGGAAATTGAGATAAAGAAAGCTGAAATTGAGATAAAGAAAGCAGTAGCAAGCAGTAATTATTTATCTTTTTTTCTTCTTCCCCAGTTCGGACATCACAGACTGAACCCAGAAAACAGAACACTGGGGAGTCTTCGGAACATTCTCTATCTTCTTCACCAACGAGTAAGGTGAGCTTTGTAGATGGTTCACATTCTGTCCTCTTTTTTTTTTTTAATTTAATTTATTTATTTATTTATTTTTGTCTGCGTTGGGTCTTCTTTGCTGTGCGTGGGCTTTCTCTAGTTGTGAACGGGGGCTACTCTTGGTTACAGTGCACAGGCTTCTCATTGCGGTGGCTTCTCTCATTGCGGAGCACGGGCTCTAGGCGTGTGGGCTTCAGTAGTTGTGGCACGCGGGCTCAGTAGTTGTGGCTCACGGGCTCTAGAGCGCAGGCTCAGTAGTTGTGGAGCACGAGCGTAGTTGCTCCGCAGCATGTGGGATCTTCCCGGACCAGGGCTCGAACCCGTGTCCCCTGCATTAGCAGGCGGATTCTTAACCACTGCGCCACCAGGGAAGCCCTCTGTTCTCTCTTTTAACAGCCCTCTCTGCCAAGAAGTGGTTGGATTTGCTTACCTTGCACTTCTGCCTTGGCAGTGGCAGCCTAGAAACCTCTCCCTTGCCTGCTGTGCTCAGACATTTCTGACTTTAGGGGCTAAGTGAGATATGACAGCATTTTGGGAAATTATGGAAGAGTTTAGGTCCTTATTCTTTGTTAGTTACAAAGATTCAGTACTCCTTTAGAAAGGGAATCCTCCTATAAAATCCTGCCATTTGCGACAACATGGATGGACCTTGAAGGTATTATGAAGTAAGTCAGGCAGAGAAAGACAAACATTTGATTTCACTCATATGTGGAATCTAAAAACAAACAAACAAACTCATTGATGCACAGAACAGACTAGTGGTTACCAGAGAGGAAGAGGATTCAAGGGTGGGCAAAATGGGTGAAAGGAGTCAGCTGTACAGTAATGGTTGGTTACTGGACTTGTGTTGGTGATCACTGTGTAGTGTATACAGATGTCAAATTATAATGCTGTATACCTGAAACATAATTTTAAAAAAGAGAGCCCTGCTGTAATCTAATATAGAGACCACTCTACTGAGTAGTCCTCCATCGATGACATATCCTATGACCTCTCATAGATAGAAATAAGCAGCTATTAGAGAGCAGCAGTCATAGCGGGAAAGGGAGGGAAGAGTAGGAAGAGTTACAACAATTATCATCATAATGATGACAACAGTGATAATGGTGATGAGAGCAGCTAACACTGTTGAGTGTTTGCTATGTGGCAGACACTAAGCCAGACGCTCTACCTGGGTAATCGCACTTAATCCTAACAACAGCCCTATGAGGCAGGTACTGTCGTCATTTCCCCGTTTCATTTAAAGAAACTGACCCCTAGGGAAGTCAAATAGATCAGCACCTTTGAAGCAAAAGCTGCTGTAACTTTATTACTGTTTCTAGATGTAAGATATTTTAAAATAAATTTATTATAAAGATAGAATATACTTGGGATAAAAAATAAAATCAAAGGTAAAGAATTGGTATAAAGTAAAAAATAAATGCTGACCATACCAAGTGTTGGCAAGAATGTGAAGCGACCAGAACTTTCCTATGCTGGTGGGAATTTAGAATGGCACAACCACTTTGGAACGCAATTTGGCATTTTCTTATAAAGCTAAACATACACCTACCATAGACCCAGCCATTCCCCTTCAAGGTATTTACCCAAGACAAATGAAGTGCGTCTATACAAAGACCTGTGCATAAATGTTAATAACGGCTTTATTTGTAAGAGTCAAAAGCTGGAAACACCCCAAATGTCCATCATCAGATGAGTAGATACAAGTTGTGGTATACCTATACAGTGGAATACTATTCAGAAAGGAAAAAGAAATAATTACTGATACATGCAAAAATGTGGATGGATCTCAAAAGAATTTTTCTGAGTAAAAGAGGTCAGTATGAAAACGATTTCATACTGTATGATTCCACTTATATAAAACTTAGAAAATGCAAATAATCTACAGTGACAGAAAACATATTAGTGGTTGCTTAGGGCCAGAGTAGGTGGAGGGAGAGTGATTGCAAAGGGACGTGAGGATACTTTTTCAGGTCATGGATATGTTCACTACCTTGAATGTGGTGATTGTTTCATGGGTGTACCCGTCAGTCAAAACTCATCAAATTGAAGTCATTTAAACTTCAATAAAGCTATAAATACGTGCACACCTACTGTGTTTTCTCTCCTGTCTCTTTCCCAAGAGCTAGTCACTGTTAACAAAAAGTGCATGTATTTCCAGAATACTGTATAAAACATATATTTTGGGTATTCATTTTTATACAAATGGAATCATATGGTAATACTGTTTTGTACCTTGCCTTTTTGTAAAAACGTTACAAACAATCCTTCACATCAATATCTGTACATTTATCTAGTTTTTTTAAATGACTGCATTTTTTGTTATATAATATGCCATAATTTATTGACCAATACACTTACGATAAATATTTAGTTTGTTTCCAGGTTTTTGCCTTTACAAACATTGACAAATGAATAGTCCATAAATTTATCTTTGTATACCTCAGTTATTATAATTGTAGAGAAAATTCCTTGAAGTGGAATTACTTAAGAAGTTTAAACATACAAAATTTTGATAGGTATTGCCATGTTGACCCAAAAAGATGATACCCATTTCCATTTCTGCCAGCATTGTGAGAGTTAAGAAAGATGTAGTTAAGAAAGTTAAGAAGGTAGTGTCAACAGGAAATCTTTAGAATTATATAGTTTTGAAATTCAGCGTGTTTTTACATCTTTCATCTTGCTTGGTTCTCACTCAGCCTTGTGCGTGTGGAAGGGTGACTGTATTCCCATTTTTGCAGATCAGGAAGCAGGTTTAGAGAAAATGACTTGCCCAACACCAGACAGATGCAGGCAGAGCCAGATGTTCAAACTCATACGCTCAGTAAGCACTCAGGGACCATTGAATGAGTGTTCATCCACTAGAACGTTCTACAATGATGGAAATACCTGTTCTGTTCAGTAGGGTTGCCACCAACCACGTGTGTCTGTTAAGCACTTGAAATACTGCCAGTACAATTGAGAAACTGAATTTTAAATTTTATTTAAATTTAAATGACCACGTGTGGCTAGTAGCTACCATATCGGACAGTGCAGTATACCATGCCAGGCCTCTCCAAACTTTTGATTGATTAAGAACACCTGAAGTGCTTATTAAAATACAGATTCATGTCGCCCCTCTGGAGTGGGGCCTGGCAATCTTCATTTCTAAACAGACCCTGGTGATTCTGATGTGAGTGGATGTGAAGAAAATCAACACTACTGTGTATCTTTCCTTTACTACTGACACAGAGCACTTCACTTCTGGCACCTCCAGTCACCAGACGTTGCGTGGGGGGTTCCCCGCGCCAGGCAGTTCTGTGTGATACCAGCCGGGCGTCCCGTGATTTAACTCCGTTCTGATGCTGCGTACCCGGGGATAGCATTAGATCCCACAGGTTAAGGAAGGGCTCAGTCCTAGGATGCTGACCCTCACTTCAGATGACAGTCACAGGTAGTCGGTCTCCAGGTTACACAAAACTTCTGTCTGACTTGGCTACGAATTGGAGGTTGCCATAACCTCCTCCCCCTTGGGTATGATTGTTTGCTAGAGCAGCTCACAGAACTTAGGGAAAGGGAAACACTTATGTACGTTTACCAGTTTATTAAAGAATACAGATGAGTAGCCATATAAAGAGATCTGGGAGGGTCCCAAGCACAGGAGCTTCTGTCCCTGAGGAGTTGGGGTATATCACCCTCCTGGTACATGGATGTGCTCACCAACCTGGAAGCTCTCTGAACCCCATACTTTTGGGATTTTTATGGAGGCTTCATTATGTAGGCATGATCTATCATTAACTCCACTTCCGGCCCCCTCTGCTCTCTGGAGAATAGTGAGTGGGGCTGAAAATTCCAAGTTTCTTATCACAGCTTGGTCTTTCTGGTGACCAGCCCCATCCAGGAGCCCACCAAGAATCACCTCATTAGAACAGAAGACCCTACTATCACCGAGGAAATTGAGGGATTTAGGAACTCTATATCAGGAACTAGGATCAAAGACTAAATATTAGAATAAGAAACGCTCCTAGTGCTCTTATCACTTAGGAAATTACAAGGGCTTTAGGAGCTCCGTGCCAGGAACTGAGGACAGAGACCAATATATATTTTTTCTGTTATCTCCCAGCAGATAACATTGAAGTGGATTTGCTTGGCTTTCTTGGGGGAACACAATTCAAATTAGTCAATGAACTAGAAATTCATGGGTCAAGGCTTTTCATTCCTATTTATCACAGGATTTGCTCCAAATGATAAGTTTTCACACATAGCAAATGTATAAAATGTAGAATAGTTTCTGAATGGAGCGCTTGATTAGCTTTAATCTCTCAGTCTGTGTGCTGTGTATAGCCCTGGAGTTGCTGATGAACTAGCATATGAGATTAATTCACTCTCAAAAAGTAGCTTTGGAGACATCATTTACTCTGAACTCCTGGTTCTAGCTGAAGCATTCTTCTCTGTGGTTAGAGCAGTGGGTCTAAAGGGCTGGTGTCCAGGCTGGCCTCATCATCCTCATCACCTGGGAGCTTGTTAGAAATGCAAATTCTTGAGTCCCATCCCAGACTTAATGAATCAGAAACTCTGGAGGGGACCCAGCAATCTGTGGTTCACCAAGCTTTTCCAGTGATTTTGATGTATGCTAGATGTGAGAACCACTGGGTTAGAAGGTCAAATGTGGACTTCCCTGGTGGCTCAGTGGTTAAGAATCCGCCTGCCAATGCAGGGGACATGGGTCTGAGCCCTGGTCCGGGAAGATTCCACGTGCTGCAGAGCAGCTAAGCCCAGGCACCACAACTGCTGAGCCTGCGCTCTAGAGCCCACAAGCCACAACTACTGAGCCCACGTGCCACAACTACTGAAGCTTGCACGCCTAGAGCCCGTACTCCGCAACAAGAGAAGCCACCACAGTGAGAAGCCCGCGCACCGCAACGAAGAGTAGCCCCCACTTGCTGCAAAGAGAAAGCCCGTGCACAGCAATGAAGACCCAAAGCAGCCAAAAATAAATTAATTAA